CACCTCTTCCTACACCCAACAGCAACTAAACAGGAGAATCACCGAACAGTGACGGAGCGTAGCAACGTCCAGTTGCTGGATTCATGCACGAACCCAGCTTGCGCGGCCACATTCTTGGATGACTACATCGTCTCCAAGCAAAAGGTCGACCTAGACGGAGGCTGCTCCAGCGTCGTGCCGAGTGTACGTCGCCCTTCGTGAGATGCCGACGGGCTCCGCTCATGCGTGCGTGATGTGCAGTTCAGCAAGTACTTCCGGGAGAAGATGGGCTTCTGGACGGAGTGCGAGACGCTCACGTTTGGACCTCTTCTTGGCGGCGTGTCGTGTACCACCGATTCGGACTGTTACGTGGGAGTCTGCAGCAGGACCAACTCCACTTGTAGCTACTCCAAAGATCAAGCGGAAAGAGGGTTTGTTCAGGTACGTGTGTGTCGTGTGTGTGTCGTGTGTGTGTCGTGTGTGTGTCGTGTGTGTGTCGTGTGTGTGTCGTGTGTGTGTCGTGTGTGTGTCGTGTGTGTGTCGTGTGTGTGTCGTGTGTGTGTCGTGTGTGTGTGTGTGTGTGTGTGTGTGTGTGTGTGTGTGTGTGTGTGTGTGTGTGTGTGTGTGTGTGTGTGTGTGTGTGTGTGTGTGTGTGTGATGGGACTTGGATGCTCTGTTCCCTGCTGACTCCTACCTCCTTTGAAGTGCCTTCTGGATCGGATGAGTCTGTACCCGTTCCTCCACGGTCTGCAAGAGCGTCTGGGCCTCTCCGATACGCCTACTCCAGATGACGTGCTGCCTTACTACCGCACAAGTGAAGGATGTTGGAAAGACTTTGAGGTCCAGTTCCCCCCAGACAAGCGGCCGCACGTGTACGTCCTTCTGGCAGAGGGGAGAGAGAAGGAACCAAATATCATGATGATATTAATATTCTCCGAAAATTATAACTCTTGCGCAGAACTATCACTGTGGAGCCTTTTATCGAACAACCAAGCGACGGCGACTGCATTCATTGGGGCAGGCTTGCTGGCTTCAGCATGAATCGTCCTGAATCGTTATGGGCCGTAGGTGACACCCGCAGGACACCGATCAG